AGCACTATGATAGCAGTTAATCCCCTGTAGATTTCTTCCAGGATGTTTACATATACTTCATCGATGCCCTGATTCCGCAGTGTCTGCATGATGGCTGATATTTCTACTGAATCAAACGCCTTCTCGTAATCTATGAAGGCTATGTATAGTGGTTGGTTATATTCTGAGCATTTCTCTATTACCTGATTGAAAGTATGAATGTGGTCGATTGTTGAGTAGCCTGTTCGAAATCCTGCTTGTTCCTTTGATTGATTGAATTTTAATGTTTTCTGTACTCTGTTAGCAATTACCTTTGTAAATAGCTTGTATACTACAGAGAGCAAGCTAATCGGCCTGTAATTTTTCAAGTCCTTGTCATCTCCTTTCTTATGTATTAAGATGATGTTAGCGTTCTTCCAAGACTCTGGTACCTTTCCCGTCAGGAGACACCTCGTAAACAGGGTGGCTAGTTTTTCTAACACAATTTGTCCTCCATCTTTCAGCAGATCTGATGTTACCTGATCCTCACCAGCAGCTTTGCCTCTTTGCTTGCTCTCCAAAGCTTTTCTGACTTCTTCTATCATTACTGGTGGGGTGTCATCTGGGTTACTGCTAGTTCTTATAGTATTAAAATAGTGGTTGTCCCGGCTACTGTACAGATCTCTGTAAAACTCCTCCGCTATTTTAACTATCCTATCCATACTGGTAGTTATTTTGCCTTCTTTGTCTCTTAGTGCATACATCCGATTTTTGCCTATCCCAAGTTTCCTCTTCACTGCTTTGACGCTTCCTCCGTTTTTAAGAGCGTGTTCAATTCTCTCCATGTTATACCTTCTTACATCGGATACCTTACGCCTATTAATCAGCTTCGAAAGCTCCGCCAGTTCTATTTTGTCTGTTGTACTTGAGACTTTCATGATTTGACGCTTCTTAATGAGATTCTTCGTTTCCAGGGAAAGCTTGCCAGTGTCCTGTATAACTACCCTGCCTCCAACTTCCACTGCACACTCCGTAATGATACTCGTCAGATTATCATTCATTGTATCTATGCTAAGGTTGGTTTCCTCACTAAGAGCTGAATACCTGTTCTGAAGCGAGACTCTGAATTCCTGTACTTTCCCTCTCAGTGCTAGCTCATTGATTGGCTTCTTGCGTATCAGTTTCTGTCGTTCCTTCCTCAAATCTAGGCGAATTCGAGACCGTACCATTCTATGGTCACTGCATCGTACCTTGCCAACCACTTCCACGTCTTGCACGATGCCTGGGTGTGCACTCACTATAAAGTCTATTCTGTTCTTATTTTCGCCATTAGGGCTCCTCCATGTCCACTTGCAGTTTCCTATTTTTCGGTAGAAGGTATTCAAAATCCGTAAATTATTGCGTTCTGCGAATTCTACTAGTAGCTCTCCTCTGGTGTTTCTAGTGCCGATGCCATAATCTCCTACTGCCTGGTCTCCAGCCTGCTTCTTCCCTACCTTTGCATTAAAGTCGCCCATCACTATAGTATACTGTGTTTTTACCTTACTCATTGCCAATTCCACGTCTTCATAGAAGCTTTCAACTGAAGCGTCATCATGGCTGGATGTAGGCGCGTAAGCCTGTACCACCTTCATCTTGTATCTCTTATTCAGTTTAATTACGATACCTACCACCCTTTCATTAATGCTATAGTATTCCTCTATGTTGCCAGCTATGTTTCTGTGAATTAAGAACCAACCCCACTCCCAGTTCTCTTCTGTCAGCCAAGCCCCGATAGCAAAGGACATGCCCATTCTGTAGCACCGTATAAGCCTCATCTGTCCTCCTAACCTCACTGAGCCCTATTATATCCCATTTAACAACCTCCAGCTCCTCGAACAGTACAGCTAGACTTCCCTCACTAGATAAGGTTCCAGCGTTAAACGTTGCCAAGTTCAGGTTCCAAGAACATATGTTACGGCTTAAACCAGCTTTCATGCTTTTCTTAAAAACGTGAAGCTCCAAGCTCCGGGTTATCGGAGTGGGGTGATAGGAATGGGAGGTATCCAAGAGCATGGTGCTTTACACAACGCACTTCAAAATGATGAATATAAACACGGCTGGTGTCTCTCCGTCAAAATACTATTGCAACTGTAAAGAATTTTTAATCCTGATGCAGTGCCTTCATTATTCAACCACTGCAAACACAACAGCGGGAAGCTTCGACAGGCATAAACCCTAAGCCGACCGGAGTATGGAGGAGCGCCGGTGACGACGTGTATTTGTATTAGACAGCTAAAGTATAGCATAAATTCCTTGCATTAGCGAGTTTCGCTCACTAAATTATAGCGTAACGGCATTCAAGAAACCAATTCAGCAAGACGACGCTTCGCGAAGTGCTCGACTAGCGGCGCCATCTATGATTGTGTAACCAAAGCTCCAAAAGCTGATCAGCTCACTTTCAGTTGAGAGTAGTCAAAGCAGCGAAGTTTGACAGGAATGTTTTGTGCTCCGTTCAAAGCAATTTAAGCACATAAACGTGCTATGAGGAAAGAAATCGTGCTATGCTAGGTTTAATGTAAATGTTTTGGGCATATTCAGACAAGTATGCCGGGACGCTTTGGTTGATTGATTGATATGTGGGGTTTAACGTCCCAAAACCACTATATGATTATGAGAGACGCCGTAGCGGAGGGCTCCGGAAATTTCGACCACCTGGGGTTATTTAACGTGCACCCAAATCTGAGCACACGGGCCTACAACATTTCCGCCTCCATCGGAAATGCAGCCGCCGCAGCCGGGATTCGAACCCGCGACCTGCGGGTCAGCAGCCGAGTACCTTAGCCACTAGACCACCGCGGCGGGGCGGGACGCTTTGGTTAGACATGGTAGTGTGCCAAACCGAGCATCCGTATTGAAAACAACAGTCTTAATTATCATTCATAGTTATCAAATAATCGAAGATATCCGAAGCTTAAGTGAGCAGCATCATCTATCATTAACCACCGTGCTCACCAAGACGGCAGGACAAGACGGTTATCGCAAAGCGGGCGACCAGTATTTAAATGCACGCTTGCGCTTTAACGAGGCCTCCATGATCCTGTATCCTTCAAGGTGCATGTCTACATTGTTTGCTTTTTCGTTACTATTAAAAAAAAAAAAAAAACTGGGGCACAGCAACGACACACATGCTTCGTAGCGCAGAGCAGACAATTCGCCTTCATTGGTCGGTCTGTCGAGCTGCTGTACGTCACTTCCGGTCAGCTGTAATGGCGTCGTTTCTTTCTAGTGTCGGTATAAAAAATTGCGTTGTTGGCGAGGTTTTTTTTTTTTTTTTTTTTTTTTTCTTACATAGCCACTTGCATATGGAAGGTGCAGTTTGGCAGGCAGCATTGTCTCCAGCCAGACTGCCTATAAATCGGCTTTTTGAGGCATGCCCAACTTCATTGCAGTTGGCCTTTAGGTTGCTGCAAAAGTCTCTCAACTCCACTTCGTGAAAATGACTCCAGGTAGCAACCCACTAAAAAGAGAAAAAAAAAAAAGTTCGAGTTCGTGCTTTTCCAAACAGTGTTCTGTGGTATCCAATTGTTCGCTTTTTGTGTCTGAAGGTGCAAGCAGGTTCGTCGCTTCACTGCATATGAATAGAGTGGCCTCCGATGACGTCAAGCTTTTTTTTTTTTTTTTTTGAACATGTGGGCAATCGTGTTTTCACCAGCGAGAAGATTTCAGATTAAGCGCTGGGAGACCCCGATGACATCGACGGATCTTCGAAAGTTGACTCGTCACACACTATGCCATCTTGTATGCCACCGCAGGTTCGCTAGATCGTGGATGCACTGTCCCAGCCTAGCGCAGTCTCTGGCAACGCGACGGCACGTTGCTAGAGCCAATCCTTGAGGCCATGCCTACAACATGATGGAGCAGCTTTGTATTGATGTCTTACAAACCAGCAAAAAAGAAAAGGGTGAGAGAGAGGTTTCACCACAAGGGCACAAATTGTAATGTCAAACGAAGTAATGTGGGCAACTGACTCTTTTGGATCCAATGTCGCGTAACTTAACAAAACGCTGGTGCAAGAGAATGCAGCCGCTCCTGCGAGAAATACTATTTCTGTACAGTCTCTTTGCGTTGAGAGTGCAGTGCGTAGAAGGGTATATGAGCTGTGTGCTGATGCTTGCCGAGACAGAACACACACTAACGACCACGACTGCGCCCTTACAATCAAAGTTCACTTGCTGCTCAAGCGACCCCCTCCCCATCGAAGACAGGTCTAACAAGGGGGGCATTATCACATGCACCTTCCAAGCGATGGAGATGGGCTGGCTTGATTCATCTCTGCTTCAGCAAAGAATCATTGCCCCCACTCATGAGCTTTTACCTGCGAGTACAGCTTATGATGTGCGAGCGGATATCATCGATTCGACAGAATATGATTCAAAAACTCGCTAAGTGTGTCCACATAATTGCCATTACAATAATACATGTTTTGGATGAGCTATGCGTTTAGTTGCCCTTTCGTTTGTCTGTTTTTTTGTCAAATTTTTGCACTGATTCTGCTGATGTCCAAAAATTTGTTTATAACTAAGTTTTTCAAGACTTTGTCAATTTCTTCATATCCAGGTTTAACTGTTTACAACTATTTGAGTTTGATACAAAGTTATTTGACCTAATAACTATTTCCTCTGAACATAAGTTTCTATTTGCACATGCCTACAAATGGGACTTCCACAAGACTCTTGCAGATGTTACAATTTGACATATAACACATTCGAAACAGATGCAGTTTGCAAAGTTTGGTGTATTATGATTACTCAGACAAGTATTCAAAAGCTTCGGACAAAACTTGCTAATTTTCAACGATCTTTGCTCAGAAATTGAGGTTGTTGTCTTAATTACTTGCTTCCTACAGTTGACAAAATCGACCCCTCTTTATTTCAACAAATTTGATGTGAAATGGTTTTATGGTGATCTAATAAATAAAATGCATTTTCTGTGTTGCACATGCATACAAATAGAAAATGAGACTGGGATTGCAGACAAAGCCTTCTCTGTGGGTGCCTCACCTTGGCAAGATGCCGCTGTGGACCTGAGTATTTTGATGGGCTGGCCTCCCTCAACGCTCTCCTGCTCCAGTTCAGTGACATCTGCCAGGGTCAGCTGAAGGTGCTGGTCAACCGTGTGCAGCTGGAAATACTTGACATTGAAGTACATAAGTGTGTTGAGCAGCACTGCTGGCGAGTGGTCTCCGAGCTGCCTGGCCTGCCACAAAACTTCCTCACGAATGTGCTCCTGGGCTGCAGAGAAACAGTCAGGCTCTTTCTCAAGGGAACACACACACACGATCCAGGGACTCCGAATCCCTGAGCTTCTGCAAAAGGCAGTAAAAATCTCTCAGCTCCACAATACCATTGCACGCTTCTATTTTGCATTGTGTGGATGCAGTAGGCACATGCCAAATTCATGAAAACGTTTTGACTGAAGAAGAAGTCTTGTTATTTCATTCACAACTGAAAATCGCGTCAGGGGCTTGCACTGCAATCAATCAAGTCTTAAAAACAATGGCAGCAAGTGTGTTGTCTCAATTCGGCATCCACTGGTCAGAAAACTTTTAAAAAGCTATGGGATCAAAGCTGTTTGTCACCAGAGGCTGCCAATCAGAAAGGGTGAAAGTGATCTGGCCAGCTCATGTGGCCAGAAATGTAAAACCAAAGAGAAACCACTAGCAGCAGCACCAATGAGGTTTCAGTACATCAAATGCTGTGTTGTCAAACTGGCAAAACCGCAACATTCAAATACACAGGCTTTTTCAACACACACCAGACAGAATTACAACTCATAAACACGAGTGTTTAGCAAATTGCATTAATCAACGACCTGACTTTTCCACGTTAGCACTGACCATTACAGCTAAAATTGCCTGACCGATGCAATAGACACTATTTTTTTAAATGTTGCCATGAATCACATTAAAAAAGAAAAAAAAAAAGCGGAGAACACAAAGGATATTTATTTCAACCACACCTTTTCTCCAAGCACATGTGTATTATGCTTTGAAAACACTCATTTCTTCTTCGAGAGATGTACTGTGGCGCTCAAAATTTTGGAGACCATGGGAGCGCATGGCGAACAGGATCGCGGCGCCTTCTGACGGCTACCGGAGGAGCTCGAGAGTGCCCACTATGCAAGCGCATCCTTTTCTACCTGCCAGCCTGTGCTCTCGCTGCCTTTAATTGTGCACACACCAGAATGCCAGCAAAACCACATGGTGTCACTTCTTGCCACTGTGAAAGCACCGAGTGATGATACAGTTAAACCTGCTCATAACAAACCTCCATATAACGAATTTCTCAATATAACGAAGTTTTTCTATTCACCACCATTGCTCCATAGACACACATGTATTTTCAACCTCTATGTCTATAATTTGAGCGTTTATTTTTCCAATTTTCGTGCCAAACCTGCATATAACTAAATTCTCTTTATAAAGAATTTTACCGGGAATTTATCAGTTTCGTTATATCCAGGTTTAACTATATCACGACAAATACGTATCTAACGTGTAGTGGAAGTGCTCGCTGCGCACTGCTTCCTGGCCTTTGTTCCGATCGTTTCACGGCAGCGAAAATACGTATATGGAGTGCGTCATCAAGAGGCAGTACTGCACGGTAATCTTATCACTTGTGTCGATTAAAAAAAGAACTGACGTAATGTGCATGTTCTCGCCGCCATGGAACATCTGGAGCCAAGGGGAAGAAGGGGCACGCATCATTCACTGCCACTGCGAGTTAAGATATTTTGTCGTGATATCACCACTCTGTGCTTCTGCGGCGCCTGCAAAAGCGACATCTCGCGATTTTTTTTGCATTCCGGTGTATGCGCAATTGAAGGCAGCGAAAGCGCAGGCTAATAGGTAGAAAAGGATACGCTTCCACAGTGGGCACTCTTGAGCTTTTCCTGTAGCCGTGAGTAGGTCGTGCGGTGTTGTTCGCCACGCGCTTCGGTGGTCTTCAAAATCTTGATCGCCACAGTACAGAATCCTTACACTGCACTATAAAGGGCCACTCACCAGGCTTGACAATTTTCAGCTGACAAGCGCAATGCGTAGATGAAGCGTTCACGATCACGTCTACCAAAATTTGCAACGCCACAAGCCGCGGAAATGGGTGAAATTTCAAGATGTACGCTGCTCCTTCTTCCTTTTGCGGGCGCCCGCCCAGAGAATGAGGGCATGATGTGCGCGTATGAATGGCCCTACGTACACAGCAATGCAGTGAGTGACGTTGGTCCTCTAGGTAGACAACTATGCTCAGACATTGCCAACAGTGGCACGTGACATGGCGGAAATTATTTAACACAACATGCCTAGTTCATTTATTTGTTGCTTGAAGAAATTAATAAATCTCTAAATAAAAATTGGCCCCGTATCTGCATGTAATCTGCAAATGTCGTCCAAAGATGATAGTCTTGCGTGTGGAGAGAGTGAACAAGACATTTATTTGATGTTCTGCGCAAGAAAATCGGTGAATGGTGTTCTGGAGGTGAACGAGCGCATAAGTCACATCACACGTGAGACATAAGCGCCATCTGGCAATTGTCTTAGAAAACAAAACGCGTGGCTCTGAGACTGGTGTGCGTGCCCATCTCTAAAGAAGAAGTCTTGTTATTTCATTCACAACTGAAAATCGAGTCAGGGGCTTGCACTGCAATTGATCAAGTCTTAAAAACAATGGCATCAAGTGTGTGTCGTCTCAATTCGGCATCAACTGGTCAGAAAACCAGTGGATGCCGAAAGGTGTAGAATGCAAGGCGACGGGTAGGTGCCACCATCGCTTCGTTTTAGCAAAACGTTGAAAACACTCGCCTTTCCCTGCAAGCATTGCATGGTCAGTGCAGCGTGATAAGCGCTATGTTCCTTGAAATTACTTATGTATGCCTTTTCTAGTAAGAGACGCACATGCAGAATATATATATGTTGTTATGGTGCCCCAGACATGCGCAATAATTGCTTTTTAATTGACAATTGCACAAGCATGAACGCTCAACCTTGAGCAACATAGGTGGGCGCTGTAGATGGAATCGGCCGTTTCAAGTACCCAATGCCGTTAAAAGTGGACAAACAGACAAATGCACAGACAGACAGACAGACAGACCAAAATTTTTGCGTTGAAGGACCCCGAGAAAGACTTTTTAATAACGAGACGCAATAAGGGAATGCAAGCGTTCTTTTTTTCTTGTTTTCCCCCGTTAATTGCAACGCGATACGAGGCTTATGTGCCGGCGTTTCACATGCGTTAGTGTCCCCGCGACTGCGGTCAGCGCATCGAACAAGTGACAACCGTGGACCGATTCTACACGTTCGCACCCTCAATGTGCTCATCTAAAAAACGCCGCTCGCGCGCACGGGAGTCGGGCTTGTTCGGGGACGTCATGCACACGTGACCTCTCGTTCAGATGCCGGAGAGGGTAGGGAAGAGACTTGGCTTGCGAAGGCTACGGGGAGGAGCAGCAAGGGTTCTGAGCTCGAATCCTCTCATTTTCGTTTCGCGGCACTTCTAAAAAACAGTTGTCTCAGCTCGTAATGCACAAATTCAAAAAAATTTCGAGACAAAATGTTCTTCATCGGACAACCAACAAATTCCCCGGTCTAACTAAAATTCGGTACGGGGCCTAGTGAAGGGCCCTTCAAGAGAACCCAATGTTGATGTTAGCTCCTCTTTCTACAACCTTTGCTTCCTGTCAGTCCTTCTTTATTCTTTACACCTGCTATTTTAAACACTGTGGACATGTAGGCAATTTCAATTGGTAATTTATTATTGGTAATTTATAATTTCATTGTGTAGCCTGCCACCAAGACATAATCAAGCACCTCTCATGTGCTGCCATGAGCATGAAACAAGCTTCACATCGAACTACAGCTGCGTGTGGTCATGACCTCATATCTCTATCTGTCCAGAGCGCCTGTTGCTTGTTAAAGTGTGCGAGTTCGGCCTGTAGAGTGCTTTTCAAGCATATCTTCACGTAGGAACAGCGGACTAAAAAGCGAGTCACCCTGGTGCCTTCAAAAGATAATGCGTACTATGCTGACCAGGGGTGATCGCTGGCGGTTGCACGCATCTCTAAAAAAGATCAGCAGACAGCCTTTCACGGGTTGTGTTCTCATGGCTAACTTCGTGTCCAAACCATAGAAGTTCAATACACTCATTGCAGCAGCCGCATTTTCTTCAAGAGTGTAGCCTTTCTTCACATTACATCCAAAGTTATTGCAATCACATTCATTGCGCCGCGCTTGCCATGAAACTAACTTCTTCAAAAAATTCTTGACAACGACAAATGCAGAATGTTACTAGGCTACTGATGAAGGAATGTAGCCACTGTTTACCCGTATGACATTTACGCAGAAAGGTTTCCAGTTCTTCAGCAATAGAAAGAGCGGTCAGCTTTGATAACTCAGTGTTGCATGATTTGTTCCAAGGAAGGCATGGCGTACGAGAACTAAAAAAAGCAACAACACAAAAAAAACAGTCTTACTCGGCATCTCCAATGCCACAAGGTGATATTTGCCGTATCCACACTATATCAAAGCGAGCTAGCTTAAAACTCAATATGCCCGAAAAAGTAATTTAGCAAAAGCAGCCAAAGGAAGGCTCTCTCATCATTAATGCAGGTGAGTGCTGCCACCTTGATACGCTTCAAAAACTCATAGTTTTGTGTTTCTGTTCCCAACCTGCACACACACAAACGGGACAAAGAAGAAAAGTATGGACGATGTATACGGACCTTCAACTGGCTGTGGCTACAACTAATTGCAGACTTCGCCGATCTGCTGCTTCTTTATCACGTAACTTTGGGACTGTAAACAGTGGCGAATTGACTCTTCAAAGCCAGACTTGTGCAGTCGCATACTGAAAGCTGAGAGCACTTTGACCTGATCATGTGCGGCAGTAGAGAGGAGCCGCTTATCAAAATTAAGCACAGACAAGCCAACGATCATGCTGGGCAGAAAAAACTGAACGCAGAGTGATGTCCGAAACCACCTTGGCGACTGAAGGAAAGAACTATGTCATACTATTCTCGTCACTTTGTATACGTAACTTATAAAGCAAACAGACAGCATCACCAAAAAGAAAAAAATAGCAGTGCCCCTTGCAGCTGAAGCCCCCTGTTTTGAATATATCAAATTGCCATCGTATACTGTGTGACACCTAAGTTATAAAGTGATGCTTGTGTTTGTTTTACAGCAATGGACCAATGTTTTGACAGCAATTTATTAAGGCTATCCTGTGCTACTTCCAAGAACCATTGTCGAATTCTCAGTGCATTTGGCTAAGCACGTGTGGCTGTCATATGGTGATATGTGTGCAAAAGATCTCTCAGTTGTTCTTCTCTTGCATTTCTTACATCACCTAATACTCTGAACTGTTTTTCAGTTTGGTGAATACAACATGCCTTTTTTATAGTGTAGTCAAAATAACTTCTCTGTTTCATTCTTACCTTTTTGTCTTCATTTTTGTCACTACTTAGACATTTATAATCACTTGATTTGTGTCTTCTGCCAAAATGATTTGGGAAACAAATATGTCATTGTATGGGTGGGCGTTGAGTACACAGCACTTAACATTCTGCTTACTGCTTGAAAAATTTAGCAATAAGTTTGCATCATAATAAAGGGAATAATTAAGAGTCATCTTAAAGATAATAGAAGGCAATTAAATTATTATAAAATGGTCTTTTTTTTTTTTTGAACGTCCCAACGAGCTATTTCAGGTCATTTTCTATGGGCACTGATCTTTTTTATTGTTTTACCTCAACAGGTAAACTTACGATGTGTGATGCCTAATTGCCATAGCTATTAAGAGTGCCACAAGTATGGTGCATCACAATTCATTCCCCACAATTGCTTGGAACAATGGCTTTTATATTTAATTCTAATTGGTTTCTTTTACAGTCCTGCCAATTTTTTTATTACTCACTGCCTGGTAATCGTAGCTTTAGGCGACTATTGCATGAAGAGCGCGTCGTCTCCAGACGATTTTGGGAACTATACTGACACTTTTATTTATTTATTTATTTGTTCATTCATTTTTCATGATTTTAGGCCTAAGTAAAAAAAAAATGCAAGACTTCTCGACGCAAGCCACACACTTTTTGTAAACTTCAAGATTGTCTCAGAGTGAACAGCTAAAATTAGACCCAAATCCTGGTGCGGCGGACACAATGTAGATAGAGGTGAAATGCTTGAGACGTCTGTACTTTCATTTCCATCGTTAAAGAAGACTGCATGGTCAAAATTTCTGGATCCCTGCACTGCTGCGGCCCTCATACCCACATCGTAGTTTTAAAACATATCTGAACAATTACAATTTAGATAATTGCACAGTACACATACTCTTGTTCATTTGCGAGCTTAAGCATGCACCAGTGATATTGCTGGAAGGTGCGATCACTGCTGTATCAGTACAAGACGCGTTCTGCCTATGATTCGATTACCGAACGCCGATGACACTTATTGTAGATATCAGAATACAGTGTGCTTAGCTTGTACATTGAATTACTCAGTTTTCTGGGCACAAGATAGCTCATTAGTGAGTTTCGTTTACACCATAGTGGCTGCGGCTTATTTCATAGTCACCACCATGTGACAATACAATAGGTTTCAGGTGTTTTTGAGGTGCACATGTCTTCTCTCTCAATAAAATTGTACTTTAGTGAGTACATGAATAACGAACGGTTTACGCCAGTGGGTACGAAGAGTAAGAAAAGGAATAGCAACTTGATGTGCTCTCTGTAGGCCGGCTTGGGTACAAAATGTTCTACAAAATGTCACTAGCGGCATTGTTGCTGCTGTCCACCGGTGATTCGGTGTTGCAAAACGGTATTTTAAGAACAAGTGAAACTGCACACCGGTATTTTGCACCATCAATGCGAAGGCCTCTTGTTCAAGCTAGTGTGATTAGACAGTAATCCAATAGACTAGTTGGAAAGCTCAGCAGCCACCTCAATCGATTACAGAAATGGGAAAATAGACTAGTTGGAAAGCTCAGCAGCCACCTCAATCGATTACAGAAATGGGAAACAAGTACCACTGTCAGCGAAGTGTCAACAGAGCTGCGCAGTTAAGCATCTACATCAAACCCTAATAAGTTCTTCAGAAGCAGACTAATTTACATTGGGACAGAACTGTTTGAGATACCGACAAACATCTAATTAAAATGGAATAAGGCAGATTTCAGAAATCTTCAAGCCATCATTATTGTTTACAGGTTCGCTGCTAGATTGTTGGGGGGGGGGGGGAGGGATCTATAACTACAGATCTGCGAATGTATCGAAGTATCTTAAGATACAATTGACGAGTACCGTATCGGATACATTTCTTGTGGCAGTATCTTGTATCTGTATTTCTAATACTTTTTGTCTGAGTATCTTGTATCGTATCGCGATACAGTTTCGAAGTGTCTTGGCCTATCCCTGGGTAAAGCACTCTCTATATGCAGTGCGGCCCCACATATGTGACGCTAACTAAAAGCGTGGCACTGCTAACACGCAAAAGTAGTTTTAGGGGTGAAGCTTCTTAAAGCGGCACCCGTTCGTCCCTCGTAGTCGTAGTCGTAGTGTGTAACCAGTGTTACATTTTGACATGCAAGGTGGTGCCGGTGGGAGATTTCTCCAGTGCTTTGTTGAACATTAAAAAGTTCGCGGCGTGCGCATTAACTAAAAGCCGAATGCTCTGGTCTTTCATTCCCCATTAGCAGCCATTGGCATGTACATTGAGCACTGTCTGACAAGAAAGGGTTGCTACGTTATACTCGCTGGGTGTAACCTCCTTGGTTTTAGAAAGGTTTAGCGAGCGTTGAGCCACAGTGCCATGAATACAGTGAACTAGTATATACCATGAACTCGAGGTGGTTGAAGGTGGGAAGCAGACCTGAAGTGCAAGCCGTAAGAAAGTGTGTGTGCCACCTCTTGTTTAGTCCTTGGAATGTCCGCTGGATGGCGGTGCTTCTATATGGGGGATATATGATGAAAAGATGCGAGATGGCGGTACTTGGAGTGTTGAATAGATGGACGAATGGACACACAGACAGATGCATGAATGGATGCATGAACGGACGCGGGGGCCAATGCATGGACGAACATAGGAACGGACGCACAAACAGATGCATGCACGGATGGGCGGATTGACGCATGGACGGTCACACAGACGGATGAATGCTTCGCCCAACTCTCCATCATTCACTCCGTGGATATGCTGCCACTTTTTTTTTGTTTGAAGTGAGGGGGGCGGGACACACCAGCGCATGCGCCCACGGAGACAAGAACGATGGCGACGCCGGCTTGTGGGGTGCAGGCCTGCCTGCCCGCCTCGTTCTCAACAGCGCGCAATAACGAGCGCTCGCCTGATGCACAGTGCGTGCCGCCACCCCTTTGCGCTTCATTGACGGCAAGACAGCCACAGAAGATACATGCTAGTACCAAAATGCAGAGCAAAATTCCTTGATTGTCTGTGGAAAAAATTCATTATATCAAGGTTGTCTCCCGCTATTTTTTTGTTATATAGAAGTCACAAATAGGTGTGCTTCTATGGAGCAACAACGGAGAATTGAAAAACTTTGTTATATCGAAGAATTTATTGTATGGAGATTCGTTATAAGCATTAACTGTACAAGTGCCAAGTAAAGCACTAGGGTTATTTAATCCAAAAAGGCCTTAGGACTACTCACACTCGCTGCTGGTGTCATGAGCTTGGCTAAAAATGCTGTGAAAGCAGCCAATGAACATTTCATACTGAGGATCAGCAAAGATGTTATCCTGGCGCCCTTGCTCATGTAGGTACTGTTGAATTCCTGTGAAAGAGAAAAAGTACAATGGTGAGGATTTCAGGGACTTATATAAAAGTAGCACTCAACTTTCGGGGCTCAATATATTCAGGTGTGCAACAGCCAGCCAAAGTAAAATTTGGAGCAATTTTTGGAGCAGCAAGACACGAATTAGGAGCAGGTTAGGCGAAAAAAAGAAAACATTTTGTATCACAAAAGAACCAATTTGAAGCAGTATAATGAAAAAGGCTGACATTTAGAAAAAAAAAAACATATACAAACCATTCAACATAACCGATATTGCAGAGTGAACATGAGCACTGCTAATTTAACAAAAGAAGCACAGTCGAACCCACTTTTAACAATACTCAAGCGCCACGAATACTTCATTGTTATTATCGATAAGTGCTATAAACGTGTTACAGAAAAAGTGCAGGGGGGAGGTGTGAGGCTGCTGTGAGAGAACTATGGGAAATGAGCACTGAGTCGGTGGCGCCACAATGCGGGAGTGAGAGAAAGAAAGTGGCACGCTCGCTACGGCAGCGCACTTATGAGCAAACCCACGTCAGGTTGTTAGCGGTGTTTCACAATGTCACGTATGAATTACTCTGTTATAAACTGCGGTAATAACTGTAAGGACTATGCACCTGGGACAAAGTTTTTCAGTTTTCCGTCACAACTATGCTTCAGAAACCCGACAGGGAACAATGATTTTGTGTACGCCCTGTGAAGCAAGTGATCCCACCTGCACGTTTATGAAATACTTGCTGTAGCTAGTTCTCTGTGACTTTACTCTGCACGCAAGTTCACTGATATTTTTACCGTGCTGAAGGAACCGCGTGGGCAGGTGACAAAGTGATCACAGTAACACTATGGAAGAACAGGGCTGCAACAGCCAAAATAGAATTTGGAGCAATTCTGGGGCCAGCAAAATGTTACTTTTGGAGCAGGTTACGGGGAACAAGACCCACCTTTCTGCTCTCCCTGTCTAACTCCGTAATCATAAGTTGCAATTCGTCCCCTGAGTTACTCAGCAATGCAATGTCATCGGCGAAGCGCAGGTTACTAAGGTACTCTCCATTAAGGTATGTCACCAACTTTTTGTATATTTTTTTTAAATTTTGACCTTTACGATATTATTTTAAAATGGGCTTATAAAGGACCTTTTTAAATGATGTTCATATGCAGAAAAGGGTGAAAAAAATCAGAATTGGATTTGTTATTGACAAAACATTGCCCAAACTTGGCCTTTACGCGAACAGTCATAACTTGAGAACGGAGCGCCGGAATTATAAAGTTTTTGGCACAAAGGTAGCCAACTCATGGTACTGTGCAATGAACTAGGATCTTTGCCATGTGATTATTGGGAATCAAGTTACAGTAAAAATACCAAGGAAAACAAAAAAAAAAGGTCCTTTTTCCCTGCAATGCTTCAACTAAAGCATTTTTACATAAAAACTTACCAATCCTTTCATTGATCCTAGTTCGTTGCACAGTTCAGTAATAAAGGAACAAACATACAAAGTTTCATTGAAAAAGATTTATTGGTCATGAAGTTACAACTGCTGGCGTAACAAAAAAGTGCGAAAAATCAAGTTTTGAGCAAAACGAGTTTAAAGTTTTTCAATGCTTGTACAACAGGATGATGGCACCCTACACAGTTAAAATCCACCAGGCACATAGGTAGTAGGGCCCTCCTTAGATGCCATGAGCTCTTTTTTAGCTTTTGTTGGTGCCCGTCTTTTCTTCCAATGTTGTTTTGCTTCGCCAGTCGACTGACGCTGGGCCTTCCTTACACGGTGCTGGTCCCTAGTGTAGCATGCTACGATAGTGTAGTGGCCAGGTTCGATGCCTGCTTCTTTCAAAATAGCCAGTACACTTCTGTTACCATCATTGAAGTGGCACACAGCATCGTATAAACCAAAAAGTAGGATGGGCAGGCTCACGTGAACGTCTTTGGGAACCCATTGCCAAATCATACCGTTGAAGCACTCGTTGGCTTTTTGGGTTTTCCCGTGCAGGCACTTCTTCAAAAGCTCATCCGTGCAAAGGTCAGCGTACACAGGCTTCACTTTGTTAAGTACCTCATTAGATAGGCCTCCCTTGTGCTTGTAGTATCCACTTCCCAGTGCGTTCCGTCGGTTAAAACCGCACCAACTCTCAGGGCCAAGAGGGCACAGACCATGCCTTGGAGTTTCATCTGTGGAACTGCAATGGAACAGGCTCGCTAATGTGGCTTGCTTCATTGCTTGCAAGTCTCCCACATTTGTTCTGATGGCAATACCATAATAGTTCTGCAGACTGTCAATTAGAACATCTGTTAATTTTCCTTCCCCTCCAAGCTTTCGTAGGCGGCATCCTACACGCTTCTGCACGTGCCCGATACACTCAAGTTTGCGCACACTATTTGGCCCATATATGTCCTTTATGGCCGCATGGCTCTTGGAGTCGCCATCTCCACAGAAGTCTACATATTTCAAACCACGACTTCTTTCTGCACGCTCAAACATACGGTAGAGCCCTATTGCCTCCATGGTTTGCCTTCCACTCCAGAAATTCAGCACTTGTGGGGCACAACTTGCTTTTCGAATGACATGCCCTGCATTTGCTTGACATGCCTTCTACATCAATAATTTTCCCAGTATCAATCGATATCAAAGACACGCAGCCATTCAATGAGGAATGCCCTCGCCTTTGCCACGTACCATCACCTGACACACCACATTCAGTACTTCGCACAACACAACGCACTTCAGTAGCGGCATTCATCATTGATTTAGATGCAACATTCTCTGCAGCTTTACAAAGCTTTGCAGATATCTTTTGGTAGGCAGAATGCCAAGGCGGCGGCATGTTCATAACTTTCGCCAGTGTCACAGCTCCAGAATACCCCTTGCCTAGCTGACGCATTGCGTATACCAGACGCAGGTTGTTCTCAATAGAACTTCCTGTCTTCTTTGATGATTCAAATGAGTGTACATATGCGCATGCACCACACACAACAGCATATGAGAAGGATATTCCATGCTGGGAGCACTCCTCCAGGCTCAGCGAGGTGTTCTTGCATTCCGGGCAGGCGAGCATTGCAAAAACAGATGAAAGAATCTCCATGTCTATAATCCTATTACCCTGCAGTAAAGGGTCTGGCATCGGCACTTCACAGTTATCGTCCAAGTTCGCAAGCTTCGCAGCCCTCGCCGATACATCCCCGTCCACATGGCCGACGGTCGGAGCATTCACAGTGTGTCGATTGCCAATGAACTTTCGTTTCAGTCGTCTTTTTACCCTGAACTTCGCCATACCTGCTTACAAAAACGTTCAGCCTATATTTGTACTACTGCTACTAAAGATATCACGTGTAAAAAATACAAACTATGCAGAATTAACAGCAGCAGCATGAAGCGCGCGCAAAGTAAACAACAGAGACTCTCGTAGCTTCACGTGTCCCCCTTAAGGATATTTATTGCAACATATGAAAAAACAAAGACTTCTAAGTTGTCTTTAAACAAGTTTATAGTTATCAAACCAATACATAACAGAAAAATTACAACATTTGCCGCTGATGTTCGCTAACTTATCAGTTTCTGTTAGCACACAACCCTAGTTTCGGTTTCGCAACCGTTCACCACATGTTCGAAAATTGGCTATAACTTCGGAACTAAATAAGATAGAAAGATAATTCTTTCGGCAAAATATTTTTGAATGATTGAGGATTCTTGGAATATAAAAATTAAAAATGAGTTGTAAAAAAAAAAATGCATTTTCAAAGGTGGTGACATACCTTAACTCTTATCCCTAACTGTTCCCATTCTAGGCTTCGGAAAACCTCCTGTAAGCACGCGGTAAATAGCATAGGGGAAATTGTGTCCCCCTGCCTTACACCCTTCTTGATTGGTATTCTGTTGCTTTCTTTATGAAGCACTATGGTAGCAGTTGATTCCCTGTAGATTTCTTCCAGAATGTTTATATATACTTCATCTACGCCCTGATTCCGCAGTGTTTGCATGACGGTTGATATTTCTACTGAATCAAACGCCTTCTCGTAATCTATGAAGGCTATGTATAGTGGTTGGTTATACTCTGAGCATTTCTCTATTACCTGATTGATAGTATGAATGTGGTCAATTGTTGAGTAGCCTGTTCGAAATCCTGCTTGTTCCTTTAGTTGATTGAATTCTAATGTTTTTTTACTCTGTTTGCAATTACCTTTGTAAATAGCTTGTATACTACAGAGAGCAAGCTGATCGGCCTGTAATTCTTCAAGTCCTTGTCATCTCCTTTCTTATGTATTAAGATGATGTTAGCGTTCTTCCAAGACTCTGGTACTCTTCCCGTCAGGAGACACCTCGTAAACAGGGTGGCTAGTTTTTCTAACACGATCTGTCCTCCATCTTTCTGCAGATCTGATGTTACCTGATCCTCACCAGCAGCTTTGCCTCTTTGCATGCTCTCCAAAGCTTTTCTGACTGCTTCTATCATTACTGGTGGGGTGTCATCTGGGTTACTGCTAGTTTTGATAGTATTAAAATAGTGGTTGTCCCGGCTACTGTACAGATCTTTGTAAAACTCCTCCACTATTTTAACTACCCTATCCATATTGGTAGTTATTTTGCCTTCTTTGCCCGTAGTGCATACATTCGATTTTTGCCTATCCCAAGTTTCCTCTTCACTGCTTTGACGCTTCCTCCGTTTTTCAGAGCGTGTTCAATTCTCTCCATGTTATACCTTCTTACATCGCATACTCCACGCCTATTAATCAACTCTGAAAGCTCTGCCAGTTCTATTTTGTCTGTTGTACTTGAGACTTTCATGATTTGACGCTTCTTATTGAGATTCTTCGTTTCCTGGGAAAGCTTGCCAGTGTTCTGTCTAACTACCCTGCCTCCAACTTCCACTGCACTTTCCATAATGATACTCGTCAGATTATCATTCATTGTATCTACGCTAAGGTTGGTTTCCCCACTAAGAGCTGAGTACCTGTTCTGAAGCGAGACTCTGAATTCCTGTACTTTCCCTGTCAGTGGTAG